GGTGTTCCAAGGAAAACCCAGGGTGAGAGGAGCAGCCCCCTTGGGGGCCTGTCGGAGACCCTCAGTGCAGCGCAGAGGGAGGTGGCACCAGCACATCTGTGAGCACATGCCGGCTGGCTGTCCTTTCAGTGACATTTAGTCTCCCAGAGAAGCATGCAAACCACGTACGCAGCCCAGAAATAACCCGCCCTCTGGGCCTCAGAAAGCTGATCTCCCAGGTGGGGTGTATGTGCCCGCTTCTGGGTCAGGTGAGGTTCCAGGGGCTGCCCCCCAGGTCCCGGCCCAAAGAGGAATGTACACAGAGGTCCCTCAGAATGACCCGTCCATTGTGCCCTCCCAAATCAAGGGCTCCCACCAGCTGCTTCCTTAGGGGCCCACTGGCTATCTGGGTGAGGGTCCCAGCTGGGGTCAGGCTCCAGCTTCTGCATTACCCCTCTCCCCAGTGCCCCCCTTCTCTGCCTACACTCACCCACTTTGAATGCCATCTTGGTGGTGACAGTGTCCAGCCTCACCCCCACCCCCACACATCCACCCAGAGAGCTAGTGCAAACCTCATACCAATGTGTTACCAACCCGACCCCACACGCCTACCTCAGAGCCAGCCCTGAACTCGCATCCTGTTGGCCTCACCACCTCCCAGACCCCTTCTGCCACTCCAATCCAGCCACAGCTTGCCGCTGCTCCTTAGGCCTCTGTACTGGCAGTCCCCTCACCCACCTTGGGTCCTGGGTCTGTGGCCCATCAGTCCCCAGGGCAGGCCATGAACCCAGGGAGCAGGGTTCAGTGCGGGGGGTCCCCAGCCCTAGAGCCTGTGGCCTGTCCCAGGTGCTTAGTCGGTGCACTTTCTAGGCTGGCCAGTTACCTAACTGGACTTGTAGTCCTTGGAGACTAGCTCCAGGTGGGCAGGGCAGGAAAGGGGCAATTACGTTTCTTCCTGACTCTTCCTGCACCAGGAGGCTTGGGAGACATGCCTGAGCAACAAGGAAGCAGGCCAGGGTGGCTAGCACCTGGCTCCTTGAGCCCCAAGGCCCCTGAAGCCCATGGGGGTAGCTGACAGGCAAGAGGGTGCTGCACCTCAGGAGGAGGGAGGGCCTCCCCTTCTTCCTTCCCCCACTGCCCCTGTTGTGCAAACAGGTAACCAGAAGATCCAGGACACTCTCACCCATCCACCACTGGTCAGAGTGTCTGTCTCCCTCCCAAGAGGGGGGAAAGGACCCCAGATGCCCACCTCAGCCCTGCCCTCACCTGTGTTTGGAGCTGTGACTGGAGGGAGGTGACTGGGGCTTTTTCTGGGGAGGTGGGAGCCGGGCAGTGGGTGGCCTGGGCCCTCCACCCCACCTCCACTGACCACACAGCTCTCCACCGCATGCCCAGTGCCCCTGCAAACTCTCAGGTGGGCTCACGTCCTCTTGCAGGGGCCGGTGGGGTGGAAACAGTGGCCTCATTCACCAGATTGGACACTGCGCCCCAGGCCAGCCCCTAGCTCTGAGTCATTCTCCGCTCCACCACCATCACCCCGTTATGACAGGAGGAGGCCATTCGAGAGTGGCCCTGGGGATGTTTTTGTGCTTACCCTGTTAGAGCCCCCTCCTCTAGAGAGCTCAGTGGGCAATGAGGAGGGGCCAGGAGGTAGTTGAGCAGGCCCAAGTTGCCCCCCTCCAGGCCTTGACCCAACCCTGCCCAGCCTGCAAGTGCCTGGCCTGCCCATCCACGTGGCCACCTTGTCCCATTCCTCAACTCCCTACAGCCCCCCAACCCGAAAGCCTGTAACCTAAGGCCAAGGCCCAGAAGGTGGTCTCTGTGTCGGCAAGCCCCACCAGCCAAGAGGGGCCCCTTCCACCAAAACTGGGTTCCCAGCTCCCACCACCATAGGGCCACCATAGGGCCTTTGGAACAAGTAGGAGAGGGGAGGTGGCTGAGGAGGGGAGAACGGCTGGGGAGGGGGATGTGGAGGGACCCTAAGCTCCACCCACCACCACCACCCCCACCGGACCCGAGGGTGCAGGACGGACAACGGACCCTCCTTCCCGTTCCAGCTTCTGGCTGGGCAGGTGGGGGTCAGGCCGACCTCGCCGGCAGCGGGGGGCTGGGGGGGGGGGTGTTGGGAGAGAGGATGCTCCGCACGGCCCCGCCCCAGCCCCCCTGCATGGCCGCGCGCGGGACGTGGGGGACGTGACCGCGCCAAGGGAGGAGCCGCCGCCGTATTGCCTGGAGTAGGCGCCCTCCCGCCCGCTACCGTATTGGCCAGAGCGCACAGCCAAGGCGCGGGACTGCCCGGGTCAGCGAGCCCCGGAGCCACACTGGGCGTCCCCCAGCGCCGAAGGGGACCCCGCGGCTCCCACAGAGCGGGGCCCGCTTCACTGTCCCCCCGTTGGGGCTGGGCCAGGTGGGCGCGAGTTGGAGCTAGCAACATTGACTGAGAACTCCGGGTCTCCGGGACCCACTTCCCCGCACAGCCCGTTTCACAGATGGAGACTGAAGCCGGAAGGTCTGCACTCGCAGAGGCGAAGCCATGAGGAGCCCCATGCCTTGTCCGCTCCTGCCCCGCCCCTGTGTCGGGGCCCAGTGCGCCCGAGGCCTGATCCTGCCTGATCCGGAGGTGTCTCCAATGGACTGATCGCTCTGCCTGGCTGTCTTCTCCACTGGTCCCCTCCCAGAAGGGCCAGCCCGGGGCCCTGGGGTCGCTCTGCTGGGCTCCTCACCTCGAGGGGGCTGAACTGGCCCCCTCCACACCTGCCAGGTCTCTGGGAGGACCGCCCTGGTGCAAGTCAGCCTTGTCATACGGACACCACCAGCCAGTGCGTGGGACCCCACAGACCCCGCTCCACACACTGTCCCTGGCCAGTGTCCTGAGGAGCGTGAACACCTCCCGCTCCTTCTGCCCTCCAAACTGAGGTGTCCAGCTGGAGTGGGTGAGAGCTGTGTTGCCTCCTGGGTATCAGGCCCTGCCCAAGGTCACATGGGGTTGTTACAGAGCCTGTCTTGGGATCAGGCCTCCCAAAGTCCACCCCAGGCACTGTCTACACAACAGACTGCTGGGCAGGAAGGCTCCACACCTGTCTGGGCACTGCCACCCATGCCCTCAGAGCCCCTTGGGGGCAGACCTCCCACCATGGGAGCAACTCCTTAACAGCTGAGCCCAAAGGGCCCAGTCCATCCTCCAGGACACACTCCTGCATCTGTCCCTGTCCCTCCCAGTGCCCATCTGACCCCTGAAGACTTTTGGGCCTTCAGAATGAGGCAGTGGACCCCTGAACCCACTAACCCACACAGCACCCACGCCTGCCCTTGGCTTTGGACAAGCCCCTCTGACCTCGGCTGCATGAAGGCCGTTGGTCCAGCTGCCACCTCCTGTCCCTCAGACCATTCTGCCTGGCCATGGTCATCACACAGAGTGATCCTGTCAGCCCAGGCACCTCTGGGTGTGCAGCTTAGTGCATCTGGGACAGAGAAGCACTCTGGGCCCTGGGCTGCCCCTTTGTCCCTCACCCAGAATCCAGGCACCCCCCACCCCACCCCAGCGGCCATGACCCCAACTGCTTCCCCTTCCACTCACAGGCCTGCCAGCCACGGGCCTGGGCCAGCATCCATGTAGGTAAGTTGTCAACCCACTTTTCAGGTAAGTAAACCAAGGCCCCTGAGGCCCCACCTGGTTTTCCCAGGGCTAGGGGCCTGGGAGGGGGGTGAGGCGAGCTCAGGGACTCCAGTCTGATCCTGGAGGGGGGGTCCCCGTTCTCTCTGCCCAGGGACTGGATCAGAAGCCTTTGCCTGAGGGCGGGTTTTGGTTGGTGAGTGTTTAGGGCGGCGGTAAGAACAGGGAGGTGAGAGAGAGGACCGGCCCTCGGGCACCACCACCCGGGCGCCCCGACCTGGAGCGCACGTGCTCCCCAATCCCCCCGGCAAGGGGGCACGGGCCGCGGCAAGGGGGCGTTAGCCCCACCAAATATAGCCGGCGAGCCCCAGCCGCTCGCCGCGAACCGAGCTATTTATACCGGAACCGGAGCTGCAGCCCGAGGGTTGCCCGACGGAGGGGCGCCCAGATGAGTCGGGGAAGTCGAGGTCGCGTAACTCGGGTCCGAGGGCGCGGAGGGGTGGGGCTGGCTCCCCGGGGCCCTCAATGGGGGCCGCCCGGGGGGGGGCTCATCTGTGCCCGGGGCGCCCCCGGACCAGGAGGGCGAAAGGCAAAAGCTCGGACCCCAAGGACGCTCCCACGCCGGGTGCAGACTCAGCGCCAGGGCAACTCAGAGGGTCCCAGTCCCGGAGCCGCGGAAGCACCCGGGCAGTGCCTACCTGCTGCCGCTCGGCCGCCGCGCGTCTCTGCTCGCCTAGCTGCCGGGCGCGGTGCCGGGGGCGACTCAGGCCGCTCGCGCGGCACTTCCCCAGTGTACGTCACCGCCGCCTGGCGCCGCCCTGCATGGACCCCGCGGGAGGGGCGCCCCAGTGCTCCCCGACGGCGCGGACACCGGCGCGGGTTGTGCCTTCTCGCCCGACCAGTCCCGCTCCCCCGCGCCCTCAGACCGGCCCCCCAGCCTCGCCATCCCCTGGCGCTGGGCTGGGAGCCCGGGCGCGCAGCCCCCTCCCGCCCCTCCATCTCCCACTCTGTGTGCGCTCGCTTCCCTCTGCCTGGGCTTGATGGGAGCCCAACTGGGTCCCGCAGTGACCCCCGTCGACCCCCGCGCCCCGAGCCGCGCCCTCTGACAGGTGAGCGCGCCCATCCAGGCGCACCCCACGCCGCGAAGTGCCCGCGGACCCCGTGGGGTTCCCACCTCTTGGCTCAGCTTTGGGGTTTTGCAGGCCTCCCTGGCCAAGCCCCCTGGGATCTGCGCCCCCATCCAAACCTCGGGGCCGACACCCGCCCCGGCCCCCCAACCCCCAGCCCGCGCTGCCTGGGTGATCTTGGGCAAGGCCTCCGTCCTCTCTGACTTCCGTTTCCCCCTGTGGCTTTGTGCGCTGCTGAGCCAGATAACAGCCGCTGCCCCTCCTCTCGCGCTCCCAGAACTGGCTGTGCTGGGGGTATGGCGGGGGGCCCAAGGCATACTCCACGTCCCCACACCCCGCGGACACTCATCTAAGGGGAGCGTTGATCCTGGCTGATCCTGGGCAAGGAGCTTCAAACCCCTGGTTTTCTCATCTGCAAGATGGAAAGAACTAAGGTTTGAGGAGGCACCAGGGAGTGTGGCCATTGGTGGCCTGGGCCCAGGACACCACTTGGTGGCTGCCCCTGAGCCACAGGACCACTTTCCATTGAACCTACTTCAAAATGACACCCGAGTCTTCTGGGACTACAGGAGGCCAGGCATTGGTGTCTCTGGCAAAGATTCCAGCTCATCCTGGACAGGGTGACAGAGTGAACATCCCTGGAGGATTACCCCCCTCCAGAGGCCTATGGGGTGGCCCATCCGCCTTGGCACAGTACAGAGGAGTGGGCAGAATGGTGGTGGTGTTGGCCTCCTGGCCCAGAGTTCACCATCCGACCACCCCTTCTGAGACACCAAGTCCACTGAGGCCTTCTGCTTTTTTTTTCAGATGCTGGGAGACTGCCCCACCCCCACCCCCTGTCAGAAGAGCCCTAGCACTCATAGAGGCTGAGCTGGGTCTAGCTGCCACCCCGGCCCAGGACCCGATCACCCTCACCCCCAAATGCTAAAGAAGTTGCCACATAGGCATACACACACAAGAAAGCAGGAAGCACAGCCCAAGCCTCCAGCAGCAACTTGGCCTAGGCCTCCCAGGTGAAGCCCTACTGAGTTGGCCTGGACCCTGGTTGTCTATAGGGGCCCTTGGGAAGGAAGGGGGTCCCCACGGGGTATCAGATGGTACCCCCAACTGCCTGCACCAACAACACTCACTGGCTTCCTCACGGCTGGAGGTGGAAGGTACACCAGCATGGGAGGGCATCTGAGGGGGTGCAGGGCAGAGCTGCAGAAGGGAATCCCTCACCTGTGCTGGTAGTTCCAACCTCTGGGATAGGGCACCTCCCTCCTCTGCCTCAGATCATTTAGACCCACACCCTGTTCTGCGTGGGCCCCTCCTGCCACCACCTGGATGCCCTACCCATCTTCATGAGGCTTGGGAGCTAGTGCCCCTCACCCCAGAGACCAAAGATTCCTGTTAGGTAGGAGCTGTGCAGCCCTCGAGCCCGGCCCCACCCCGCTCCTGCCCCCACCAACCCCCAAATGGAAGACCTCAGAGCGCCCAAAAAGGGAGACAGATGTGGGGTGGCTGGGGTCTTCCGGCCTGCTCCCAGCCTCCCTCAGACTAGCACTGGGTCTTCTCTGAGCTCTGCAACCGGGGAGGGCCCCCACCCAGTGATCTGAGGGAGAGCCTGGGTTCCACCCTTGTTCCCCAAGAAGGAAAGGGACACCAAGCCTCCATCTGGGAGGGCTGGGGGTGTTTATCCAGAGATACTGTGGTCCTGCAGGAGCCCCGAGGAGGGAGAGGACAGTTCCCCAGACCCAGGCATGGTGTTCCATGGGTGTGGGCCCCAGGGCCAGCCTGGCTGCTCACTCAGAGCTGAAATGTGGGCTCCCCTCTCCCAGGGACACCGCGGGCAGGCTGATCAGGCACTGGCTTGCCAGCCCCCGCCCCCACCCCAGCAGGGCTCCAGGGAGTGTGCTTTTACTGGGGAAGTGGAGGAAGACCAAAGTGGGGTGGCAGAGTGATGGCCTCTGTGTGTGGCCCGGCGTGGGAAACCACCTGCTGACGGTCAGCGGAACAGCAGAGCAGCCTCCCCCCAGGGCCTCCCGTGGACCAGGGCCCTGCAGGGGAGGACCAGGAACCTCCACAACCTGAGACCCTCGGCCTTCCAGACCCCAAGCTCCCCCTGGGTGCTTCAGTCCACTTTCCAGGGCCAGGAGCCCTGAGCACAGCAGGGAAGGAGTGGGTGCAATTCTGTGGTGCAGGGGAGGGGCGGAGAAGGCCAGGGACACCCACCCCAAGTCTGACTCCGATGGCTGGTCCCCCACAGTGGCCCTGGGCTAGCCCCCCAACTGAAGCTCCCCTTTTCTGGAAGGGAGGGGGTGGGTGACCCGGGGAGGTGCAGCCACCCCTGGCAAGGTGGGGGGGGGGGATGCTCTCCCTCATGACCCAACCTGCTTCTGGCCCTGCCCTTCCCCACGGTCCACCACGCCCCTGCCAGTGCCCCCACCTGCTCCATCTCCTGGATTCTCATTCTTCCAGTTGTTCCAAATCACAGCTGCAGGTCCCATCAGGCCCTAGAACGTGCTCTGAGGGGCCTCCAGGCCTGCCTGCACCCTCTCCCTGGCTGCTGCACCTCCTGGGTGGGGACTGTGCCCCACCCTTCCCAAGGAGAGAAGATGGATACAAAGCAGGAATGTCTACTGGGCCCATCACCTTCTCAGAGTCTGATCTCCATTTTCCACCCAGATGGTGGATGGGAGCCAGACTCCGCCGTGCCACTGTCTCTGAAAATGATCTTGGAAACCTGGAGAGACTTCAGAGGGTCTCAGGGGCAGCCCCCCAGGAAGGATGGTGGGACAGGCCTTCTGCTCCTACGCAGGGCCAGATCTCGGGCATCAGGGAACCTTCCAGGGTCTGATGGGGCCATGCAGAGGCCCCATCCTTGAGCCCTGGGCACCCCCACTGGGCTCCAGGCCCCAGCCGGGCCATTCATCCTGCCCCTGGACTGCCTGTGCCACCCAGCATCGGCTGCCAGCACCCCGTGGACGGGTTCGGGGGAGCACAGGCTGGGTCGGTTGAAGAAAGCCGAGTCATGGGACGGACATTCTGGCTGAGCCTGGGCCCCCCTGACCTGGGGTCCGGCTCCTGACCCCACCGTCCTTAGGGACCTGGAGGCAGGCAGGACTGTCGCAGCCGGTCCTCACTCATACCACAGCTGGGCCACACCTCCCATGACTCACGGTGGAGAGGCTGCCTTTCCGGAAGACTGAGGCCAGCGGTACACAGGCCCCTCCCCAAGGTAGGCCACTCCCCTTCCTCCTTGCTTGCCCCTCGGCTTTTCCTCGAAGTCAGTTCAGGCGCCCTGAAAAATAAACATATTGACTACTTGGCTGGCCCAGGCTGTGGGCGGAGGTAAAAACAGGTGGCAGAGGCCAGACCCCTGCCCAGCCCAGCCTGATTCACCTGCCCTCCCCACCCAAGGCTGGTGTTGGGCACGGGGGTGAGGGTATGGGTGGGGCTTGGGGGTGTCTGTGGGGGGTGGGAGTTCCGGGTGGGGTTCTGTGCGTTTGTTGGGGTGTCTGTGGCAGGCGTTTGAGATGTGGCTGGGATTGGGAGTGGGTGGGCTCTGGCTTGGGCCCTGGTGGGTGATCCCTCTGATAGCCGTTGGCTTTCTCCTGCGGAACCCGGCTGGCTGCTGACCCTCAGGCCAAGGTCAGTCACAAGGGGGGCCGCCCCAGCTGCCCACTCTTCCTGACCCTGCAGCAGTCCTGAAGGGAGGGTCTCACCTGGGAGGTGAGGAAGAGCAACCCAGCATGGGAGGCTGGGTCCAGGTGGGGGCAGCAGACTTGGGCCAATGGCCCCTCTCCTCAGTGGCCACAGTGACCTCACCCATGCCACTAAGAGACAGGACTGAGACAGGGTCGGTGCTGCTGCCGAAACATTCAGCACCCAAGGTCAGTGGGGCTGCTGGGCAGGCATGCCCAAGACTCTTGTCGAGGTGGGGTGAAGGGGCCCAGCAGAGAGGAAGTCGTGCCGGCAGCCCGGGTCAACCCTGACGCGCTCTGGCCTCAGTGTCCTATCTGTGAAGTGGCAGTGAAGCCCCCCTGACCACTCTTGGGAGGGTTTGAAAGCTCACCCAGCTCACCTGTTAGGGGTGTCGCTCCTGCCCCATCATCCAGCCAGACTGGTTGGGGGGGGGCTCCCATGTGGACAAGCCCCCCTGCCCCGCCCACGCCAACATCCATCCACCGGGCTTCAGATTGAGGCCTGCCCCAGCTCGGCATCGCCCTCCACCTTCCCAAAGTCACCCAGCACTCTGCACCCCTCACACCCACCCCCGTCCTCAACTGAGCTCTGCTTGGACAGCCAGTGAGGGCATCGAGGGTGGGGCACCTGCAAGGGGCGAAAGGGGGAACTTCTTAGGGCCACAGGCTCTGAGGACAGGTAGCCTCCGTCCTGAGGCTGCTGCCACACCCTCTGGCACCCTGTGACGTCCTCGGGAGCTCTCCTCTCCCCCACCCATAGATGAAATGGGCCTGGCCTGGAGGAGGCGGGACTCAAGTGCAGACCTGAGCTTAGATGTGGGAGGGCACAGGCAGAGGCAGGGCATGGGGAGCGGGCAGGAGGTCGCTGGCCTGGCCAGGTGTGGATGACACGGCTGTGGAGGCTGGAGACTGGGGGTGCAGCGGAGCAGCGCCCACCCCGACCCCACCAGGCTGAGAGGCTCCTGGGACTCCCGCCAGCTCTCCTCCAGGCCTCTGTGCCTTTGCACGTGCTATGCCCTCTTCCCTGGGGAGGCCAGTGAGCCTGTGCTGTGGCTTTGTTACCTGGATCGTGGCTCCTCCCCAGGTGAGACTGGGGGCCAGAGCTCAGGGGCCAGGTGAGTGCGGGAGGATCCCGGGCAGGTGGAGGCAGGCCTGGGCTATCCGAAAGTGCCCGGTGCTTAGCCATGACATCCCTTCTGCAGGATCCTGTCAAAACACTGGTGTCCAAATGTCCTGCCTCCCCCTGCCCGCATCTATAGATGTGGAGCCTCGGCTCCAGGGGAGGCCCCACCAGGAGAAGACAAGGTGCCTGGTGTTGGGGCCCCCTCTCACCCCCCACAGGCGAGAGAGGTATTCGTTCTCTATTGCTACACAAGAAATCACCCCCCAAACTTAGCCACTTAAAAGAGTAAGCATTTATTACTCGCCCTGTGTCTCCGGGTCAGGAATCTGGGGGCGCCTGAGCTGGGTGGTCAAGGTTTCAGGAGGACCCGCTTCCAGGATGTGGCTGTTGGCAGGGGATCTCAGGTCCTCTGCAGATAGGCCTCTTGGGAGGGCTGCTGAGTGTCTTACACCATGGCGGCCTCCCCTGAGTGAGTGGTCCAAGACAGCCAGGGGGCTGTGCGGACCCAGTCCTGGAAATCCAGCATCATCCCTCCTGCAGCTTCCACTGTTAAAGTCACTCTGTCCGGCCCACACTCAAAAGGTGGGGAATTGGGCTCCACTTTTTGAAGGAAGATTAAAGAATTTAGAGGCCCCAGAGGACACCAACCCTTGACCCTGGAAGGAAGGGTTGGGGGACAGGTGTGGAGCCAGACCAGAATTGCTGTCAGGGCTACGACCACTGATCCCCTGGGGAGGGGGCTGCTACTCCTCCCTCCCCACCCCTAGCCCCGAAGTCTCCAGGCAGGGCCCTTTCCAGGTAGGTCTCAGCGGGGTGAGTGGACTTGATACTTGGACCTGAGGGCTATGCGGACTGCCCCCACCCCGCCACGCACCCCTCCAGCTGCTCAGCCCTGATGTTGGGGTACAGGACGCAGCTACAGGTCTGCCCCTTCCCCTCTTCTCCTGGGCCCTGGGGGTTCAGATGTGACGGTTCTCCTACCCTCGGCCACTGAGAACAGCCTGAAGGATGAAGGACGCTGCAGTCATCCTCGTTTTACCTAGCCAGTCACGTTTCTGAAGGCGATGCCTGCAGGTAAGTTTTCCGACAGACTCTGAGGTGGAAAGCAGTGTGCAAAGTCAAATCAAAGTAGGTCACGTGTTTGCTCTTAGAAATACACACATGCCTCGGGAGAGGTACATGCCCCAAGCGGGATCAGGTAAGGCTACATTCAATTTCTCCTTTACACTTTTCTAGAATTTCTCAGTTTTCCCGCAGGGAATATCTATTAGTTGACTTTTTTTTTTTTTTTCAATTGAGGTGATATTCACATAACATGCAACGGATATGTAAAATGTACAACTCAGTGGCATTTAGTTTATTCATAATATTGTACAAACACCAGCTCTCTCTAGTTTCAAAACTTTTTCATCACCCCATTAAAACTCCATAAAAATACCACCCTGTACTCAGTAAGTCATCATTCCCCATTTCTTCCTCCCCCATCCTCTGGGAACTGCTAACCTGCATTGTGTCTCTGTGAATTTGCCTGTTCCAGGTATATCACATCAAAAGCATCACATGGTATGTGGCCTTTGTGTCTGGCTGCTTTCACACAGCACAGTGTTTTCAAGGTCCATCCATGTTGTTGTCTTTATAACTTCATTCCCTTTTATAACTGAATAATATCCCACATTTGGTTGTCCATTGATCTGTCAATGGACATTTGGGTCATTTTTACCTCTTAGAGATTGTGAGTAATGCCGCTATGAACATTCCTATAAGGTCTCTCTGTGGACATAGTTTTCATTTCTCTAGGTCATATACCAAGGAGTGGAATTGCTGGATCATGATAATTCTATGTTTAACTATTTAAGGAACTGCCACACTGTTTTCTGTTTTCCACCTGCACCATTTTACATTCCCACCAGCAATGTATAAGAGTTCCTGTTTATCCACATCCTTGCCAACACTTGTTAGTTTCTGTATTTTAAAAATCAAAGTCATCCTCATAGGTGTGAAGTGATATCTAAGTGGTATCATACTGTCATTTTGATTTGTATTTCCCTTATGACTAAAGACAATGAGCATCTTTTCTTGAGTTTATTAGCCATTTGTATATCTTCTTTAGAGAAATATCTGTTCAAGTCCTGTACCATTTTTTCAAGTGGATTTTATTTTTTTGGTTGAGTTTTTTTGTTTGTTTGTTTGTTTTTAGCTGTGCGGGGTCTTAGCTGCAGCATGCGGGCTCTTAGTTGCGGCATGTGGGCTCCTAGTTGTGGCATGTGGGATCTAGTTCCCTGACCAGGGATTGAACCCTGGCCCCCTGCAGTGGGAGCTTGGAGTCTTAGCCACTGGACCACCAGGAAAGTCCCTTGGTTGAGTTTTAAGAGTTCTTTATGTATTCTGGAGGCTAATCAGATATATGCTTCTCCTATTTCCCAGGTTGTCTTTTCACTCTCTTACATTGTCCTTTGATACAGAAAAGTTTTATATTTGTTTCTTTGGTTGCTGTGTTTTTGGTGTCATATCTAATAATCCATTGCCATGAAGATGTACCCCTATGTTTTCTTCCAAGAATTTTATGGTTTTAGCTCTTACGTGTAGGCTGTTGAGTTTTTTTGTTTTTGTTTTTGTTTGCGGTACGCGGGCCTCTCACTGTCGTGGCCTCTCCCGTTGCGGAGCACAGGCTCTGGACGCGCAGGCTCAGCGGCCATGGCTCACGGGCCCAGCCGCTCCACGGCATGTGGGATCTTCCCGGACCGGGGCACGAACCTGCGTCCCCTGCATCGGCAGGTGGACTCTCAACCACTGCGCCACCAGGGAAGCCCGGCTGCTGAGTTTTGAGTGGATTTTTGTGTATGGTGTGAGGCGGGGATCAGACTTCATTCTTCTGCACGTGAAGATCCAGTTGTCCCAGCACCACTTGCTGATCTATTACTTTCATAATTACAAAACTAGGTAAAATATAAGCCTGCTCCTGTGTTTAAATTGAAGTAGGCATTGCTCGGCATGGGCCACCTTTTGGGTCTAGATGCTGCCCTGGTCTCTCCTTCCTACTCCTGGGGCAGCAAAGCCCTGCCCTAGACCCTTGTCCCCTCCAGCACTCGCACGTCAGTGGGCAGATCACCAGCCTCAAGCCAGAGGCCTTAGTGATGGGCATGGAGTAGGAGGCAGGCTCACCTGGGTGCTGGGGGAGGAGCAGCCCACCCTGACATGAAGGGCATGAGGTGTCTGGAGCCTTGGCTGCAGCAAAGGCCACTGGCTCTGCGGGGCTGACCTGGCCTGGGGAAGCCAGGCCAGGTCGGGTCAGGCCTTCAGAGAGACCCATCTCTCCCTGGGATCAGGCTAGGCAGGTGGGGACACAGCCCTCCCCTCTCAGCTCAACCTTTCAGCCTGGAGGCTGGATAGGGCATGGCCCCTAAGGTTTGGACTTTCCCTGCCCCGACCTGCTGCCCCAGGCCCTTTGGATCCAGTCCCCCCAGCTTTTCCTCCCATTTGCTTCATTCCACCTGCCCTTGGTCCCACAGGTGGCCACTTGGGGATCTGCCATCTCTGCCCCATCCTGAGCTGTGGGCTGGGGGTAGGAGGAGGGTCAGGTCTCCCTCTCCCCTTCCTTGGAGCCAATCTAGGTCCTGGGGGTGGGATTGGGTCAGGGTTGGAATTGTCACTTCGTGCTTTCCACTGGCTAGAGCCCCCCAACTCCCTCTTTGCTCTTTGTGTCCACACCCACTCCTCTCCCTGGGTCCTCCCACACCTGTGCCCCCCAGGCCCCACAGGCAGCCCTTCTAGCCTTGCTCCCTGTGGTCCCTACTACCCATTCCTCCCTCCCCTTGTCCTGGAGGCCACACAGTCCAGGCACCCAACATACGGCTCCTCTGTCTGCTGCCTGCAGCCCTGTTCTCCCTCTGGGTCCCACAGGCTTGGGGGCTGCTGCTGTGGGACGCTACCTCCCTGTGCCCCCCTCTGCCTTGCCTGTCGCTGTTTGCCCCCACCTGTGGCCTGAGTGAGGTGCCGCTGAGAGCAGTGGAGTGGCCAGCTGCCAGGGAAGGACTGGTTGCCAGAAGACCACTGGGGGCTGGCGGTGGGAGCCTCCCTGCTGTCGGGTCTGGCACAGCCTCCTCAGACAGGGGCCTGGAACAGAGCTGGTGATCACACAACCTCTGCTGGCAGTGGCTGCTCCCACGGCCTGTGCACAGCCTGAGGGCGGCTGGGCTATACCTGCAACCTCACCTGCTCTCCAGGTGAGGCGAGGTGCCCCTTCACAGGTCAGGGCAGCTGAGGAGGCTGGCTGAGCCCAACACTGCACAGACTTCCGCTCAGTTAGGTACCTTTCCCAGGGGGCATCTGGCAAACGCTCACTGTCCCACACTCCCTGTCCAGGTCCCCAGCCCCCAAGTGCAGTGGCCGTTTCTCAGACCACAAGCCTCCAGGCCCCCTCTTCTCCCTCTGTTCATCTGGAGTTGGGGGGTAGCCTCTCCCCTCTCAGGGCCCTCAAGACAATCCTTGTGTTGGTGACCCCAAGGCACCCCTGCAGCCCAGACTCCCTGAGGACCCTCAGTTCCCTGCGCCAGTTGGAACTCCCTGCTGCCACTCCCTGCACCAGGGGCCTTCCTCCGGGGTCCTCTCTTTCCCTCACTCCCACATCCAGGCCTGGGTAAGTCCGGCAATTCCTCATGCCCTAGGTCGTGGACCCCCAAGGCTGGGAGAGCCTTTGCCCACCCTGGTGCCTGGAACAGAGTAGGAACTCCAGGAACGCAGGTGAGTGAGGACATTCGGGAAAGGGCAGCTTCACACACCGTCCAGCCTCCTCTCCACCCCTGCAGCCCATTCCTCACACACGGCCAGAGGCAGACTCCCAAAGCACCCCTGGCCCTCTGTCTCTCTTCCTTGGCTACCATTCAGGTCTCACCTGCTCAGGTGGGCTGCCTGGTGGCCCAGGTAACTTAGCCCTAGCCACGCACTCTGCACCTGACCTTGCTTTGGCTGCCTCTCCCGACCTTACACTCACCGGGGATCTGCGTACCTTCTGGGGGATGAGCTGGGTGTGGGCCCACCTCATTACTTGCTTTTGCTCTCTAGGGCTCAAACTCGGCTCACCTGGGCTGCCCCCTCTCAGGTGATACCCAGATTTACAGCTTCCCACTAATCCCCCTAATCTCAACTTGGAGCATCTCAGCCCCAGGGGACAGAGGTCATGACCCAGCCTGGCACACGGAGGCCCGGGAAAGTTCTCCTGAGGTGAAGGATGGAAGTCTCAGCCCGACCCTGCCCTTGGCCTTCCCCAGGCCAGAATGGCCGGCTGGAGGATGCAGCCAGGCCCTGGCAAGGAACCAGGCCCGGGAGCCACGGAGGGGGCCGAGAGAGTGGGCTGGGCTGCGTGCCAAGCTCTAAGCATCCCTGCAGCCACCGGGAGGGCGAGGCCTTGCCCAACCTTCCTGTGCCGACCGCAGTCCTCCTCTTCCCGGTGACTCAGCACAGCTCGGCGGAATGTCTGGGGTCACTCAGGAGAGGGTGGAACGAAGCCAGTCCTTTGCCCCTCAAGCGCCAGCTCACGGGTGGTTTGCAGGGAGGCGTGAGGGTGGGTCCTATCCCTGTTCTGCTTGGCCACTCGAGCCCCCGTCTCCCCTCACCTTGGTTTCCTCACTTTCACTCCAGAGGGTGGACCTCACGGTCTCTGGGGATTCGGTTACTGGAATCCCTCAGCCTCCCCGAATCCCCTCAGAGGCCACAGTGGGCAGCAAAGTGAGGTGGACATCAGCCCCCCGGGCAAGATGGCTGTGGGGGTCGGTTGACCTGGCGAGGTGCACCCTCTCGGTGCCCACTTGTTGGGCAGCTTGTCCTTTTGGCCATGGCCTCACAGGGAACACCGCACTCTGTCCCACCCATGTCCATAGCCCTGCCTCTGCCTTCAGGCCTCAACCTCTAGGAAATGGCTATGTTGGGCCTCCTGGTTCTCTTGTCCCTTCCAGGAGCACCGTACTTCCCACCAGAGTCCCTTCCTGGTTGTGGCGCCAGGAGGACGCCCTCCCCTGGCCCAGCCTGCCGCCCGGTTCACAGGGCACCCCTTGTTCGGCGGGGGCAGGGACCATCCCGCTGGCTGTCCATGGCCTGGCACATACTGGTAGCGGGGGGGATGGTGAAGGACATCTCTCCCACTGAAGCCTCCCAGCTGGTCCCTGTTTCCTCAGGACCCTACCAGGGAATTTGCCCACTTGCTTCTGGTGGTCCAGAGGGGCACACAGAGGCCCAGGCAACAGGTGGCAGCCTGGCCTTTCCTGCCCTGGGGCCTGTGAGCAAGTGGATAGGTCATTGCAGCCTAACACAGGCACCTTCCTAATCCGAGGGGGAAGTGACTTGCTCAAGGCCATTCAGGCTGGTGCCTAAGCTGGCCCCACCCAGATCCCTGTGCTTTTGGGACCCCATGAGAGGCCTGCAGCAGGGCTCCCACTGTGAGGTCAGCTCCCAGCACTATGAGCCCCACGGCCAAAAATTGGAGGAAGGACCTGGAGTCGTGGGCAGTCAGAATGGGGGCCTCGTCGGGCAGCCCCTGGAACTCCCCTGGGGGGCACTGTCCTGGGAGGGCATCCAGCTGCCAGGCCAGGCTGCCCACACAGGGGTCACTTGATGATCACCAAGGTCAGGCTGTATTCTGGGATCTGGGAGCCACAGCCCAAGCCCAGCCCTTTGATGCATGGCCATCCTGGTTTATACCACCCCACAGCGAGCCGGCTTGCCACCCAGTGTTGACATCTGCTCTAAGCTTAGGTGCTGGGGGCGCCAGTGGGAGCAGGATGGCTGACCACGCCCAGGCCAGCAGACTTGGCCCACTCCTGAGCCCCCTGGCCTCAGTTTCCCCATCTGTAAAGTGGAGAGAGTTCTAGAATCACCCAAAGTGTGGCTTTGAGGGCTTCATGAGATATAGGGGCCACCCCACATGACAGGCCGGGAAGCAGGGCCCCCCTCAGAACCCACTGGCTTCTCAGGAAGGTCCAGCACTAGCCCTTTGCTGGCCCTTTAGTGTCCCTGCAATGTTGTTATTATCCCACAAGCATTGTACCCTCACAAGCTCCAACTGTATGCTTGGGGTGAGGGGCAGTTTGATCCTGGCTGTGCTAGTCACGAAGGGGCTGGGCAGGGTCCCTTAACCTCCACTGTTCTGTTACCACATCTGTGAGGGGTGACCACAGGGTGGCCTGTGGGGAGCTGGCCCTGGGCTGATATTAGCCCAGGGAAAGCAGTCTGTAGCAGGTTGAATGGTGGCCCCCAAAAGACGTGTTCTGGTGGTCCCAGTACCTTAGGATGCGACCTTCCTTGGAAATAGGGTCTTTATAGATGTAATTAGTTAAGATGAGGTCACATGGGAGAAGGGTGGGTCTAACCTAATAGGACTGGTGTCCTTAGAAAAGAACACATGTGAAGACAGACACAGGAGGAAGGCCACGTGACGACGGAGGCAGAGAGTGGAGTGATGCATCGATGGGCTGAGGGGCACCAAGGACTAGCACCAGTAGTCACCTGAAGCTGGCTGGGAAAGGTGGGTCAGGATTCTATCCAGGGCTTTTGGAGGGAGCAAAGACCTGCAGACACCTTGATTTCGGCTTCTGGCCTCCAGAACTGCTGCCTCAAGCCCCCAGTTTGTGGTCACTGTTATAGTGGCCCCAGGACAGACACACAGTCAGTCAGCATTGGCAACAGCGGGGATGCAGCAGGCTGGCCGAAGGGTCACCTGCCTTGCAGTGTGTGCAGAGGGCATTCTGGGTGGAGGAGGGGGTCTGGACAGGATGGTGGGCAGGTTGGGGGAGACAGACTGGGAGAACGTGGGGTCTGGCCTGACCTGTGGGGAGACCAGGCAGAGAGCTGGGTAGAGAGTAGTCAACATGTCACTCCTCCCCTCCATGGGCATCTACTGGGCTCCCAGACGTGGGGCACAGATAAGGGGCCGAGCTCCAGAGCCCAAGTGGACAAATTTGCAGACCTTAGAGGGCCTGTGGGGTCTGCCAGGAGTGACAAGGCCCCTCTCGGGGTGGTGAGGGCCCGAGCTCTCAGCAGGGCACACTGCCGGCCTCCATCATTTTGTGGGCTGTGTGATGTGCAGGGGCAGGTGAGTACCATACCTCTCTGGGCCCAGCACCCCAGAAGCCTTAACTGGGGCTCAGGTGAGGGAATCAGAAGTTCTGGGATGTTGGGCGATTGAAGTGGTAGAAGTTGGCCCTGCCACAGGAATCAAGGCCATGCTGCTCCTGGGCCACCCTTAGGGTTAGTGCTAGGGTCAGGGTCAGGGTTGGGGTTATTGCAGGGATAGGGTTACGGTAGGGTGGGTCAGGATTAGGGGTTAGGATTAGTGTTGGGGTTGTCACAGAGTTAGGGGTTAGGGTCAGGGTGAGGGTTGGGGTTAGGTTTAGTGTTGGGGTCAGGGTCAGGGCTTGGGTTAGGGTTACTGTTGGGGTAATTGCAGGGATATGGTTATGGTGGGGTGGGTCAGGTTTTGGGGCATAGATGGTGAGGTGCAGAGATCATATTTATTGTTAGGATTTGTCTTTATTCAAAGGGGTGTATCCTCTTGGCCCTTTGGGTTTACATACATACACCCCTGAGGCCCTTCACTGGGGCTGAACTAGCACCCATGTAGTTCACATGTTGTTCAAATCTATGAGGAATGGAGGGTGTTATCCCTAGTTTATGGAGCAGCAAACAGAGTCCCAGAAAGCTGTAACAAGAGGAGTGAAATTGGGATTTGAAGCTGGACCGTCAAGCAGGTTACCCTGGTCTGGAGGCCGTGAGGCTGCCCAGGGCCTATGGGATGTAGGTTAAAGGTCATGGGGACCCGCTGTGGCTCCTCCAGGCAGGCAGGACTATTTTCACGTGGTTTCTGTGCACTGATAGGATCACATCTTTCATTTTCCATGAGGCTTGAATTATTGATCTGCCTGATTTTTTTTTTTTTTTTTTTTGCGGTACGCGGGCCTCTCACTGCTGCGGCCTCTCCCGCTGCAGCCTCTCCCGCTGCAGAGCACAGACAGGCTCCGTTGGCGCAGGCTCAGCGGCCATGGCTCACGGGCCCAGCCGCTCCACGGCATGTAGGATCTTCCCGGACCGGGGCACAAACCCGTGTCCCCTGCATCGGCAGGCGGACTCTCAACCACTGCGCCACCAGGGAAGCCCCTGATCTGCCTGATACTTAATAACCCCTGGACCTCCCTCCAAGAGCTGCCTCCTAAAACAGAGGGTTGGGACTTTTGTCCAGCACTGGCAGGAACAGCTTGGCGACTGGCCCTGGGCAGCCAGAAAGCCATCAGGGTGGAGAAAACACAGATGGAGAGGAGAGGCTGGACCAAAGACTGTGTCACCCCGCCTCTGTGCCCATCACTGCCTCTCTACAGCCCGGACCCCTCCCCTCCCAGGTACAGTACCGCCCCGCTCCGTGCAGCCCCACATCCCGACCCGTCGGAGCCGCCAACAGCTTCGGGGTTGCGAGACGGGCGGGATCGTGGAGCCCAGCTGGACGAGGGGCGGCTGTCGCGCCGGGAAGCCTCGGCCGCCTTCCGTCCACCCGCCACCCACTGATAGTCCTAGGCCTTCCTCCCTCGGCTGCACCTGCGCTCGGGCCGGGGTGGGGGGTGGGGGGGAGGAACCCGGAACCTGGCGTCGGGGCTCGCGTTTCCAGCCGGCGGGATCCGAGCAGTGCACCAAGCGCGCCCGGATAACGGCAGACGGACTCGGGTCACCATGGCAACGCCGCGGGACCGGAGGCTGCTCGTAGCAGGCGTTCTGGGTGAGGCGCGGACGCGGGGGCGGCGCGGGGAGCAGCCGAGGGGCCTCAGGAGCCCGCAGCGCGGGAGGCTTCGGCCTCTCGGCTCGCTTTTCACGGGCGTCTTTGCTTTCCTTGAAAAAACCCGAGACGTTCAAGTCCTGCCAGACGCAGTGCGCTGGGTGGGAGGGCCGGGGGCGTTCTCTGCCGGCACAATTTGTTTCGAGTGCTCTAGTGTTTATTCGACCCCTCCAGGAACCTGAAGAGGTGGGTGCTGCAGAGATGAGAGAGTTTACCCCGGACAACAGCCAGTGAGGACGGGTTCAAACCCAGGCAGCCTGGTCCAGAGTGATTTTTTTTTAAATTATTTGAGACTTACAAAAGAGTTGCAAAAGGAGTACAGAGATTGCCTCTTTACCTTTTGCCGAGATTCCCCCAAATGTTAACCTCTTATGTTACCATAGTTCATTTTAGCAAACTAAGGAAACTAACACTAATACAAAACTATGATCTAATGTATAGGATTTATTCACTCAGCAATTATCCCACGAATGACTTTAGTCTTTTACAAGATCCAATCCAGCACCATCCGTGTTTTGTCTTCTTATTCGTTAATCTGGAGCACTTCCTCTGTCTTTCCTTGACTTTTATGAGTCAGTTATTTTGCAGAATGCCCCTCAGTTTGGGTTTATCTGATGTTCCTTTATGATTACTTTTAAGTTATGCATTTTTATTAAGAAAAAGCTTACCAGTGAAATTGTGTTTTTCTCTGCATCTTAGCAGGAGTCATCTGATGCTGATCTGTCCCATTACTGCTGATGCTAACTTTGGTCGTGTGTTTTAGGTGATGTCTACAAGGTGTTTCCCTCATCAAGTTACCCTTTTTCCCTTTCTAAATAGCAAATATCTTGTTTATAACCATACTGCCAACGAGTAATTTTAGCGTCCAGAAGTGAGCATTTTCTGAAACAATTATAAGTGTTGCATTTGCCACATGGTAATTTTTCCATTTCCATTATTTCTGCTTTTATAAGTTGGAATTGTACTGTAAGGAAGAACTTTTCCATATTTTAATTTGTTCAGTTATTTCTTGGTATAGGCATTTTATTTTTATTTCATAGGTTATAATCCATTACTATCATTTATTTTGTTGCACTGTTGTCCAAATTTAGCCCATTCAAGTTGGCCTCTGTCCTTTTAGCCTGTCCTCAACATTTTGAGCACTTACTTATTTTCTGACACCACAAGATATTCTGGACTCATTTTGTGCTTTCCTTAACCTAGCCTGGAGTCAGTCATTTCTCTAAGGAGTGTTGGTTCCTTTTAGTTTAGATGTTTTTTTTAGAAACCAAGATCTGGGGGAGGTATGCTCATTGCTACTGGAGTGTCATTGCTTTTTGGCTTTCTCAAAGGGCGAGCTGGGAAACATGTATTTGTGTACACTATATACATCCGTATCTATTTCTATATCCATATATCTGTACATACTAAAAACTGAGTTTTTATTGATACTTCCAATTCCAATCCATCACCACAGGGTTCATTCTACATTCCTTTTCCTCTAACTCTGGCTCCTATTGTCCTCAGTACATTTACCTTTTTGCTCAACCGTAGACCGCATATAAAGTAATTTCAGTATTACCAATCCATATTTGTGTGAAAAACAAACCTACTAAAGTATAATATTTGCATGTGGTTGTTTTTGTTTTTTTCCTTAGAATATATAGTTAAAATGCTGTTTTACAAAGTTGTCTTAGTGTGTTTATGTTATTAATTTGTAATAAAGTGAGGTTCATTTGTTTCTGATTATATTTCACTTTGAGTTCTTATTGATTTTTTTTTTTTTTTTTTTTTGTGCTGCAGTGCGCGGCTTGTGGGATCTTAGTTCCCCAACCAGGGATTGAACCCAGGTCCTTGGCAGTGAAAGCACGGAGTCCTAACCACTGGACCGCCAGGGAATTCCTGATTCCTTATTGATTTTAAGTTTTGGTATGTGAAACATTTATGTGGTTCTAAAAGTGAGCACAGTATCGGCTCTTAACTACAAGACTATTCAAACTTCTATTTTATCATTTATTCGCTTTTTTGCGGGGAGAGGCAAGGGAATCTGGCAGCTGTAAATTCAAATAAAAAGCACTCTGTTCCCCTCACTGTAGCAGTATCCCTCACCCCAAGCAAGTTCCGGTGATTGAATTAAGATCTATCTGCTGCTCATCTCTCTCAGGTTTTACAAATGGTCATGGGTACTGTTTGGCAGTCAGTGAAGGACAGGAGAAAATGCTTGGGTCATAGGCCCCTAATTTTCATCCCCTCGATCCCCTTAAAAATTGTCTATACCGAGTTTAGTTCATGCTGGGATTCCAGAGGGTGCCAGCACTGAGTCCCCTGTCCTGAGTGCAGAGATGAGCCACCTCTGGAATTTCTTTCAAGTCCCACAAAAATGTTTTATAAATTCAGCTTTTTGAATATATTTACAGAGCACCAGTAAGACAACATGCCTTACCAAAGTAGATTTGGGTTTTCTGCATTAGGAATGGTGGTTGAGTGGAAAGCCAAATGTATCTGGAGCCACAGTCCTTCAGAGGAAGGAGATAAAAAGAAACCTCTGCTTTAGGTGTCTCTTTGCCCAGCCATTGTGCCTAAATGGCTTGTTTGTGAGCGTCTAGGGACTGACTTTTAGCCTTTACAAATGGTCCTTTTTTGTACATTTTAGAGTTTGCAACTGCTTATGTTTTACTGAGGTCATGCAATGTTTTTTCAGTAAAGTACTTGTCAAGTGTTTATTCTAAAACAATTGCTCCAAGTTTTTGGTCAGACAAAAGTGTGATTAGTTCTACTGTCACATCTGCAATTGGGTAGCCTGTGGGTTCCTCTCTGATTTGGTCATCTTGGTAAGGGGTGAGATTGGCAAGGATGAAATCATCCTCCCAGGCTCCTTCCTGTATACCCAGCTTATAGTCGCTGCCGCCAGCTTGCTGGAGAGGTGGGGCCCCACCAGGGCGGGGCAAGCCCCTCTGCAGAGCCCACTTGGCTTGGAAAGCTCCTTCTTTTCCATGGAGCTCCTTTTCACATATGGTTTCTTAGGCCTCATCCTTTGCCCCGAACTCTTGTAAGTATGATGTTGGCTGTTAGGAGATGCTTGGCTGTAGATCCTCCTTGCAGCCCTGGCCCTGTCGTAATCTGTGAAGAGACACCTCAGAGTCTCAATGCCTGGATGCGCCAATTTCTGAGCCTCTTTCTCAATGCTCCGTTTGATCTGACAAGACTGGGCCTGCATGGTCAGGGTCAACTGCTGCAGACCACTGCTGGGTTTTGGGTGAGAGAGTAAGTGAGTGCCCGAGCTCTTCCACACCCCACTGTATAGTCTGTGGCGGCATCTTGACACCAGGGGTGCATTCGAACTCACTCATGACTGAGGTGGTCTTCAGATAGGGCCTCTGCTGCTTGTGTCTGTTTGCAGCCTGCAAATTTTCCATGTTTGGGAAACCATGGCTTTCATGACGAGTAACTTCCATCTCCCTAAGACCCAGAATTTCCAAGTGCCTTTCAGAACTAACAGGTAAATATCCCCCTTAGATTAAAAAAAAGTTTAGAAAGCTCAGCATTTTACAGATGAGAACATCAGAGTGATGAGATGACCTAGCACAGTCCTGGTCCATCCCCTGCTGACCCCACTGCTTCTCTTGGAAGACCGTGAACGCCGTGGGGCAAGACGAGTTGACAGTGCGCTCCCCCCGCCCTTCCCGGAGATTTCTCCAGTTGCCCCAGAGGTTTTGTGTGGTCCCTCCTGTAAACTGGGTGCTTGCTGGGGATGCCTGCTGGCTGACAGACAGATTGGGTCCAGATTTTGAATCTGTGACCTTTAATAAAAGCCGATTATTCTCAGCCTTGGGGCTTTTAGGATTTGTGACGGATGCAGGGCAGGCTGTCTGTGATGGGGTGGGAGGGAAAGGAGCATAGCACTGGGCACGTCGAGGTCCAGCGGAGCATACACAGTAGAAGCTGGTTTCTCTCTGGGGACCGGCTGGAGGTCCAGAGGGAGCTGTGGTGGGCAAGATGGGCCAGGCCCCATCCTAGGGCTCTTCATATACTGTGCCAAACAGGTTGAACTTTCTTTTGAAAAGGCCACGTGCCATGGGCACAGTATCACGTGGTCAGATTTCTGTACTAGAAGAGCAATTTCCATGGGTGGCTGTGTGACCGATGCATTTAAGAGGCGAGCCTACGGACAGTCCTCAGAGGAGGGAGGCCCGTTGACGTCACGGACCTCCGTGTGCTCTCTCTGTAAAGAACCGCAGTGATGACTCAGGCATTTCATCTAAGATCACAGTAGCATCGGCATCATTTAAAGTTGTGTATTTGCTTAAATCCTGATTCTTTGCCTGTGAGTGTGCACAGGCATGTGGGTGGTCTGTGTGTACGCCGATTTCTGTTGACAAGACTGCCAGACCCCAGAACTCACTAGGCCACGTGCCAGCTCGCACTCACGCAGCCCCACTGTAGTCAGCTGGCTTTGTGCATATGTTGGGGTTTGGGGGGGCCAGCCATTAGACGTCAGTTAGTGTGGGTGAACGCCCAACTGTGGAGGTCATCGAGTCGCCTTGTTATTCCACTCCGGGCTTTTCTTGAGCTTGGTGGCCAGGCTGACCTGCTGGAACCCTGGTTTCCCAGTGGTCCTGGGAGGCTTGCAGCCAGGGCAGGGGCCACGGGCTGAACAGGATGTGTAAGCCTCCTGAAGGCTGAGCAGAGCCCCTTCCTGCCTTTCCCTCTGGGCAGGGCCTCCCTGACCTCTGACCCGAGCAGCCCTGCGTCTCCGGCCAAGCTAGTGATGTGGGAAGTTACCTCCTCTGCCCCTTTGTTTCCGTGCATCTCTGTCTTGTCCCAGTAGGGATGACAACCCGTTGGTGTGGGGACCTGGCCCGTGTCTCCAGCAGGTGAAACAGCACCTGACATGTAGTAAGTGCTAAATAAATACTTGTTAAATGAATGAATTTAAGAAAGTTTGCTATGTTTATGAGAATTTTACATAGTATCATTTTTTTTCTGGCTACAATGATATACATCCTAACTGGAGTAGTAACAAACATTTGTTATCTCCTTCAAGGTGCCAGGGATTGGCGTACAGAACAGAGTGTGGTGACCTCAGGACATACCTGGGGAGTCCCCTCGGCTGTCTACCTGGGGGAAATACTTGGCAACTGACTGAACTGGAAGCCAATAACTCCAGTTTTTACTGAATTCAAAACTTTTTAAAGTGAATGTCCTTAGTTTTCCTGTAGTTCATTGATACATCCAATAACACACTTAAAGATCAAGTTATTGTTGATCTAGAGTGACCGAATCTGAACGGAGAGGGCTGGCGATCAGAGTGTGGGGTGCTTGGGTATTTTGGAGTGGGGGAAACCATGGACGGGGTAGCAGAGGTGGGCCAGGCACCTCAGCGGATGCAGGGTCATCCTCTGTGGTAGAGCCACCTGGGCTCTGAGACCACCTAGTACACAGGGTTGTGGGTACTTTAAGGAAGCCGAGCCTTTGGAGGAGGAGGAGGAGTGGTTTGGAAGGGCCCTGGGGGAACAAAGATACCTGCCTCCCGGGTTCCTCTGCTGTAGCCCCAGATCCCCATGTTTATGTGTTGTCATGTGATAGTTTTTTTTACTTTTTTTTTTTTTTTTTTGCGGTACGCGGGCCTCTCACTGTTGTGGCCTCTCCCGTTGCGGAGCACAGGCTCCGAACACGCAGGCTCAGCGGCCATGGCTCACGGGCCCAGCTGCTCCGCGGCACGTGGGATCTTCCCGGACCGGGGCACGAACCCGCGTCCCCTGCATCGGCAGGCGGACTCTCAACCACTGCGCCACCAGGGAAGCCCGCCATGTGATAGTTTTTACCATTTAGTTATTTAGTACATACTTTTGAGCGCCTCCTGTGTGCTGGAGTTCCAAGTATGGGATACCACGTGGAACGTGTAGGGAAGAATGATAACATAAGCAATAATCCACCCGCTCCTGGTAAGTGCCCCGCAGAGAATTTGGATAGGTCTACGGCATTGCACCAGTTTGGGTCGAAGTTGAGGGGGGATTTCCTGGAGTGATCCTTGAGTTGGTCTCAGTGACAGGAAGGAGCCTGCTTGTGGGTTGGGTGGAGCATTCCAGGCAGAGGGGCAGCTGGATTGAGATTGACTGACGGGGTGGGAGGGGGAACCATTCGGCACATCCCAGCCCTGAATGTAGCGATCCAAGTGTTGTAAGTGGACCGAGGAACCGGAAGCACTGCTGGGCGGGGGGGCAGTTAGGCTTTTTTTTTTTTCAAGATTCCTTTGGTGGCTCTGAAAAGGCAAGTGTGGAGCAAAGGGGCCAGTTCATGGTCTGGAGTCAGCGAGACTCCAGGTGAGGGATGATGGTGGCTGAGGTGTGGTGGGGGGATGAGAGACAGCAGGAAATCCAGGCTAGTTCCTGGTGTTCAGCTTGGGCAGCTGGGTGGAGAGGGGTGCCATCGGCGAGCTGAGGGCAACGGGGGTGGCAGGCTCAGGGTTTCTGTCAGCACCCTGTTAACTCGAGATGGCAAGCAGGTCCTGGATGGATGCAGCTAAGGAGAGGCTGACATGGCCGCACTGGGCCTGTGGGTGCTGGGCGAGGCAGGGTGCGACTGCCTAGCAGGAGAGGTGGTGGAGACCGGGGCTGTGCCCAAGGTCTGCCCCGGCAGAGCTCTGCTCTGCCCCAGAGCCCTGCGGGGAGGCCACCACGCTGTCCCTGGTTAGGACAGCTCTATCAGGACACTTGTGGAGTTCGGCCGTCCCTTCTGATTAGGACCCTGCTTCCGAGTTCGTCCTCCCTCCCTGCCCTCACACTCAGGACGCTTGCTTCCTGTCCGATGCCACATGTCAGGGGGCGCTTCCTCCATCAAGCATTCTCAGATTCTCGGTGGACACCGAGTGGGTGTCCTACGTTTAACTCAGTTCCCACACTAACTGTCTGGGGTTAGTGCCGATCCCA